CCTTTGGTCGCGGTTCGTCTGCCGAACCGCAACTAAAGACTTCATTAGTCGCGGTTCCTACAGTTTCGCGACTAATGGGGCTGGACGGAAGCCTCTTTTTCTACCAGTGGTGGAGCAGAAATGGCGGCGGCGATGACTAGGTTTTGGATCGGTTAGGCTAATACCATGCTAGACAGAATAGAGAGGGAGGATTTACGTAATGTGTTGGAGTACAGACTTGGAGAGTAAGAAGCTTCTCTAAAGATAAGGTAGCAGACGATTATAAATCCTAAACTAACAAATACATGTAACCCAAATATATCTCTAACAAATGAACCGGGCTGGGTTGATCTGTTCGGCTTCGGTCAGACTAGCACATTGTTTACAGCCACAGGGGTTCGCCTTTCGCCAGGCCAGTGAGTAAAATGCATGTATGGTCCTTAAAGTTGTTGCCGATGTCCATAATGGTCCTCAAACTCCTAAACTGCTTCAATATGGTGCCAAAACTTGAGAATACTGCTTAAATATGGTCCATAAATTTGGCAACCAGTCCTGCAATACGTTTCATATATGTCGTGGAGTTATTTTCTCCAAAAAACCGCATCAGATTTTATTTAATTGCATAAAAATCATAAAGTTAAAAGTGTTGGTTCCACATGTCAGTATGAGAAAAAAATTGTAGTGTCAAAACGCTATTATGGGATGGAGGGAGTACTTCGAGTAAAATGCATGTATGGCCCTCAAACTTGTTGGCGATGTCCACAATGGTCGTTGAACTCATAAACTGCTTCCATATGGTCCAAAACTTGAGAATACCGCTTAAATATAGTCCTTAAACTTGGCGAACCAGTCCTACGATATGTCTCACATACGTTTTGTATACGTCGCGAAGTTATTTTCTCTACAAAACCTTCTCGGAATTTATTTAATTACATAAAAATCATAAAATTAAACGTGTAGGTTCCACGTGTCAGTAGTATGAGAAAGAAAAATTGTGCTGTCCAAATGCTTTTATGGGATGGAGGGAGTACTTATTATATGGAGGATCGACCATCCGGTCGCTTGTTAATTAGGGCATCTCCAGCCGTTGGCCCCCCAGGGGGCGTCTAAAAGCGCCGCCTAGGAGTGAGCCGGCGCAAAAAATGGTCCTGGGGCGAGTCGGTCCCCAGTCGTCGGCCCCCAGGGCCGCCCCCAGGCGCGTATTTAAAAAAAAACGTTCGGCGAAGTTATGATAAAAACTAGTTATATTTCGGCCAACCATGGCAAATTTCGGCGAAATTCGTTCAAACATTACATTAACCTAATATAAAGTAAAAGAAAGTGGCTGAAGTCATCGCCGCCATTGTCGTCGCCGCCATCGTCGTCGGCGGCCTTCTCCGACTTGACGCGGGTGCCCCTGCTGGACCCCTGCCCGGCGTCGCCTTGGCGAACAGGCGGCGGCGCGTCGTCGTCGTCGTCGCTGTCGCATAAGACGACGACCCGCCTTCCTCGCGGCCGCGTCGGCGCTCCTCGAAGCGGCGTAGGGCGGCGCACTAGCGCTCCTTCTCCTTCTCCAGGCGCGCCTTCTCCAACGCAATGGAGTCCTGGCGCGCCCATTCGAGGGCCGCGTCGTCGTCGTCGAACTCCGCATTCACCGGCACCAGCCCCGGCTCCGTCTTCACCGGCGCCAGCCCCGGCGGAGGAGCCGACGAGGACGAGGCGCGCCGGCCGCCCTCGTTGATGACGATGCCGGCGCTGCGAGTGCGCCGGCCGAGCGGCGTCTCCGCGGCGGGGCTCGGCTTTGACGCCGAGCAGCGCCGGAGAGCCGGAGGAATGGGAAGAAGAGCGCGATGAGGAGGAAGAAGAGGAAGCGCCGAACCTCCTTGGCGCCCATGGCCCGACGCGTCGGTGCTGCGCCGGGGCGGCCACCCTCGCCGGGGGGTACGCCAACG